CCCCAAAAACACCCAAAACACCCCAAAAACACCCAAAACACCCCAAAAACACCCCAAACCCCCCAAATAAATACCCCAAAAAACCCCAAAATCCCCTCGAAAATCCCCAAAATCTCACCAAAAACCCCCAAAATGCCCCAAAAACCCCAAAATCCCCCCAAGAAACTCAAAAAAAAACCCCAAATCCCCCCCAAAACCACCCCGGGGACGCTCGGGGACAGCCCCTGGTGTCACCTGACCCCCCCCATGACGTCACCTGACCCTCCCATGACGTCACCTGACCCCCGTGACGTCACCTGCGCTCACCTGCCCCCTCCCCCGCAGGCTCTGGGGCTCCTGGGCGGGGCCCGAAGGCGACAAATTCGGGGCCCAAAAATACGAGGGGGGCACGGGGTGCTGGCAGGGACCCAACAGAGCCACCACGGTGAGTGACACACCTGTGTCACCTGTGTCACCTGTGTCACCTGTCCTGTGTCACCTGTGTCACCTGTGTCATCTGTGTCATCTGTGTCACCTGTGTCATCTGTGTCACCTGTGTCACCTGTGTCACCTGTCCTGTGTCACCTGTCCTGTGTCACCTGTGTGTGTCACACCTGTCTGTGTCACCTGTGTCACACCTGTGTCACCTGTCCTGTGTCACCTGAACCCCCACAATGTCCCCAGAGCCCCCAGGTGTGTCCCCAGTTGTGCTCAGGTATCTCCAGGTGTCCCCAGGTGTGTCTGAGCTGTGCTGTCCCTGTGCCAGGTGTGTCCCAGATGTGTCCCAGGTGTATCTCAGGTGTCCCCAGGTGTATCTCAGGTGTCCCCAGGTGTCCCCAGGTGTATCTCAGGTGTCCCCAGGTGTCCCCAGGTGTATCTCAGGTGTCCCCAGGTGTGTCTCAGGTGTCCCCAGGTGTATCTCAGGTGTCCCCAGGTGTCCCCAGGTGTATCTCAGGTGTCCCAGATGTCCCCAGGTGTCCCCAGGTGTATCTCAGGTGTCCCCAGGTGTATCTCAGGTGTCTCAGGTGTATCTCAGGTGTCCCCAGGTGTCTCAGGTGTGTCTGAGCTGTGCTGTCCCCGTGCCAGGTGCGGCTCAGGTGTGGCCGGGACACGGCGGTGACGGCGGCGTCGGAGCCGAGCCGCTGCGAGTACCTGCTGGAGCTGGAGACACCTGCGGCCTGCAGGGAGCCCGACACACCTGGGCACGAGGAGCACGACGAGCTCTGAACCCCAAATATCCCAAAACATCCCAGAACATCCCAAAATACTCCAAAATATCCCAAAATATCCCAAAATATCCCAAAATATCCCAAATTATCCCAAAATATCCCCAAAACATTCCAAAAATATCCCCAAAATACCCCAAATATCCCAAAATATCCCCAAAAACATCCCCAAAATATCCCAAAATATCCCAAATTATCCCCAAAATATCCCAAAAATATCCCCAAAAGATCCAAAAAAAATCCCCAAAAAAAACCCCAGAAAAAATCCCAAAAAAACAGAAAAAATCCCAAAAAAACAGAAAAAATCCCAGAAAAAACAGAAAAAATCCCCAAAAAACCCAGAAAAAATCCCCAAAAAACCCCAGAAAAAATCCCAAAACCCCAGAAAAAATCCCAAAAAACCAGAAAAAATCCCAAAAAACCCCAGAAAAAGTCCCCAAAAAACCCCAGAAAAAATCCCAAAAACCCAGAAAAAATCCCAAAAACCCAGAAAAAATCCCAAAAAACCAGAAAAAAATCCCAAAAAAACCCCAGAAAAAATCCCAAAACCCCAGAAAAAAATCCCAAAAAACCAGAAAAAAATCCCCAAAAAACCCAGAAAAAATCCCCAAAAAACCCCAGAAA